TCTTTAGCTTTTGTCCCCCTACCTCCTTTTGGAACTTGTCATCTTCCCCAGAGAAGAAACTTCTAATGCCCTCCAAAGCCTATTGCTTATGTTTTACCTATTGAGATGGGGAAGAGGTCTGGAGGTTTTCTTGAGTCTCTCTGCTGCATTTTAATGAACATTTCTTGGATCGTATAAGTCAATTATCACTCTTTTAATACCTTTAGACTTTCCAATTTTTATTGCTTATTTCTCTTCTTTTATTCCTTTGGATTTATGAGTTTATTCCTTTAAAACTCATTCCTTCCTTCTTTTTAAAATTTTTTTAATGTTTATTTCTGAGAGAGAGAGAGAGAGAGACAGAGACAGAGCATGAGCAGGACAGGGGCAGAGAGAGAGGAAAACCTGGAGTCCAAAGCAGGCTCCAGGCTCTGAGCTGTCAACACAGAGCCCTACATGGGGCTCAAACTCATGAGCCCTGAGATCATGACCTGAGCCACCCAGGAGCCCCTCTTTCTTTTTAATAGAGCTTCAAGAAGGATCAAATTCTATGAATTAATTATCCACTTTTTTCCACTTAATCATTCATAGCTAAGTTCTATAGCTTACACTATGTACTTCACCTTATATACAGACACATGAATAATTTTAATTCAACTTAATAAATGTTATAATAAAGGAAAGAAATGTACTGATTGCATAGAGGGTAAGACTGAACTTAATTAGAAAAGTTCATAAAGGTTTGTAATATTTATTTATTTAGTTATTTACTTAACATTTGGCCTAGAACTTAAAACATAAAAATCAGATTTGCTATTCATTAAAGGAAGTGAAGGAAATCTTGACACCATGACTTTAAATTGGGAAGGTACATTTCTGGGTTGTTTCACAGACTTCAGATTTATATCCTCAAAACAATTCTCTTAATTGGGATAATATCTCATATTGTAGATAAGAAAAGTGGGACCCAGGAGATTTATTTTTAAAAGAATAAAATTATCTAACAGGAAATGATAGGCTTGAATGTAAATATAGTTTCCTATTTCTCCAAAGCTATGCTTTGGGTATAGAAATATAACAAGAATGAAATAAGAATCTTTATCAGAAACAAAAATGGCACTGCTATTAACTGATAAAATAATCACCCCTCAGAGTTTTCAGGAGTGATTGTCTAATTTACATTATACCCTGGTGCATTTTCTCCCCTTATCTCACTGATAAATATCCCACTCTGTTGGATTTTTTTTATTTGTTTGTTTGTTTTACTTCTTTCCTACACTTGTACTTATTTTGTGTACAGAGAAAGGGCATTTTTTTTCTTCTTCTGGGGATTGTGGAAGGAAGCTAAATCAAATCACTTAACTTCTATTTTGAGACTCATGGATTAATTTCTTCACACCCTTTCTGTCCCAAGTTTCAATGACCTCCAGATGTATCTCCCCTGTGTGTTAGCAGAGGCAGAACTATAAGACAGGTTTCACGTGTTCAGCATTTATGGATTTATGGATGCTCAAACATCATTTCTACCTGCTCCATCTCCCACCTTCCCTTCCCTTTTGGGGCTTGTCATCCTTGCTTCAAGACTGAGCACGAGTAAACTCTCCTTATATGAAACCTTTCTTTCAGGTGGTTTGGACACAAGTGGCACGAAGTGTATCTCTTGATTTTCTGTAAAGTATTGCAACAATACCATTTGATCAACCCTTTGCTCATTTATTCCCTTATTTGATCTTTTATGAGACACTGAATACAAACTTTGCATAGGGAACTAATTAACTGTAGGGAAACAGAAATGACAAGACCTAAAATTTATTGAGTGCTTATTTTTCACTAGATCCATTCTAAATCTATATACTGTATCAGTTCTCACGATTTCAAACTTCTATGAATTTCCATTTATTATTATTATCATTATTCCATTTTACAGATGAGAATTTTGGGGTACAGATTTAAGTAAGTTTCCTCCAATCCAGTACACAGTACTAAGTAGAGCCTATATTTGAACAAGTGTAGTCTGGCCAGGAAAAAAGCTTCCACTCAACCCCTTGCAGGTCAAGATCAGCTTGTTCTGCAGGGATGCATTTAGCACTTACTACCTGGAAGTTTCAGTTAACATTTTAAACTTATTTGTGTGTTCATGGACATTTTATAAGCATTGAAAGAGTAGAGACCCTTCAGGCAAGCAGAATAACAAAGTAGGCACTTAGAATTTACAGAGGAGTTTAGCCAATGCCCTTAGGGTTAGAAATCTCTTAGGCACCTCAATCGGCAACAACTCATAGGCTAATCCTAAATGGACCCAAAACAATGTAGTCAGGTTTCCCAGTGCCATATGGTAGAAGAAAGAACACTGGACTAGACTTGGAAGACTTTGTCTTAATTCTGGCTCTTTCTCTTTTTCTAGTATGAAATTGGGGAATTGAAAGCCAGTCACTCTTTCTACACCTTGGATTTTACATCTGGAAAACAGTGAACCTAATACCTGATGCCTTACCTCGTACTGTTTGAGTACAAAATTATACAGTGTATGGAAGAGGTATACAAACTTTAGAGCACTAAAAAAGACAATCATTCATTGGGTCAGTGTGAAAAAGGTAAGCAGTTGAGCTGTAAAAGTAATCATACATTAAGTCTTGTTTCTTTTTCTCCATTGAAAAGATTTTCATCTGTCTTCTAGGAGATCATACTTGCCCAGTTTTCTTCCTACTTTACTGGCTGTACCTTTTCAGACTTTTCTGATAATTCTTCTTCTTCATTCTGACCCTTTCAAACTGGAGATTTCCAAGCTCAGTCCATGGACCTCTTCTCTCTCACTCTTGACATGATCTCTTCCATTGTTCTGGTATTAAATGCCATACATATGCTAATGAATCTGAATTATACCTTCAGCTCAGTCCTCTCTCTTGAGCTACAGATCCAATACCCAGGGTGATGATTAAAAAAAAAAAAATTGGGGCGCCTGGGTGGCTCAGTCGGTTAAGCGTCCGACTTTGGCTCAGGTCATGATCTCACGGTTCGTGGGTTCAAGCCCTGCATCGGGCTCTGTGCTGACAGCTCAGAGACCGGAGCCTGTTTCAGATTCTGTGTCTCCCTCTCTCTATGCCCCTCCGCAACTCATGTTCTGTCTCCCTCTGTCTCAAAAATAAATAAACATTAAAAAATTTTTTTAAAAAATTAAGGGCACCTAGGTGGCTCAGTCAGTTAAGCGTCCCACTCTTGATTTTGGTTCAGGTCACAATCTCATGGTTTGTAAGATTAAGCCCTGCATCTGGCTCTGCACCAATAGTGTGGAGCCTGCTTGGGATTCTCCCTCTCTCCCTCTCTTTCTGCCCCTCCCCTGCTCTCTCTCTCTCTCTCTCAAAATAAATAAATAAATAAAAACATTTTTTAAAAAGATCATGTTGACCATACTCAAAACCTTCCAATGCCTCTTGATTCCATTCAGAGTAAAAGCTAAAGTCCTTACGGTGACTGACAAGGTCCTACCTGTCTTAGCCCCTTATAGATCTCCAAAATCTCCTGTTTGTCTTTACCTGGCTCCCTGGGTTCCAGCCATTTGAGCCTCCTTAATGTTCCTTAAACACAGTGAGCACTCTTGTTTACAGAGCCTTTGTGCAGCTTGGGCACCCATCCTGCTGATGATCATATGGACAAATCCCTTGACTTCCTCAAGTCCTTGCTCAATATCTCCTTCCAATGAGACCCAACCTGGACCAAACTATTTTTTTTTTTTGACCAGCCTATTTAAAGATGCTTGTCCCCATGTTCTGAGAACCCTGAACACATTACACTGCCTACATTTTTCCTTAGCCCTTGTCTACTAATATACTCTATTTGCTATTACTGTCTGCCTATTCTATGCTAAAATATAACCTTCATGAAGGTATAAATGGTTTTCATTTGTTTTATTCAGTGATGTTTCACAAGTACCCAGAATACTGTCTGGCATATGATGGACACTTAACTGACATCCACTGAATGAATGAGTGAATTGATGAATGAGTTCCAAGACATAAAACAAACTGTTAAAATGTATCAGAAAGAACATCATTTAGAAATCTTGGCATAAAGGGAGGGTAGGATTGGATCTATAAAGATACTGTCACACACATGGACAGGTCAACTTGTTGGTTCCCAAACTTCCCTACTCCATGTAGCTCCTGATACTGCATACCGAAGAGCCTATCTCTCACTCACCCTCAGTAGGAAAACAGAAGAATTTTTGGAGAAGAAGCTTAAAAAAAATCATAATTTTCTATTATCTTTTAAAGATTTATTTTTAGTTCTACTTGGATAATAAGGAAAGAATTTTTGCGCTCTTCAACATATTTGAACATTTGAACATATTATTTTCTTATAAATAATTGACATCCCTTTAACCAGTGATGACAAAATCTTATTCCACAGTTGAGAGAGAAATAGCCCCCAAATCTAAATGCTTTTTTAACATTTGTACCTAATCTAATCTAAATTGTAATGAAGTAATCAAGCAATACATATAAATAGCTATTATCAGATGCCTTCCTATTTATTTCCATAAAAGGAAGAGCTTAAGTTACTTAGAAGGCTCAATATTCTGAATACTGGGGTCACCCTAATGAAGGAAAGGAGCACACAATTGGAGGCTGAAAATGACAGTGGTAAATGTGTAAATTTAGACAAAAATCATAGCCATGCTTGGTTATCTTTGACAGACAGAGTTTTTACAGACTTTGCCTAGGAACAGAGAACAGGTGGCACTGAATCAGAGATGTGCCCTGTGTCAGTCCTTCAAGGGTGCTCCAGGCCTTCAAGCACAGCAGGATGAGGATCCTGCTATAGACTGAATGCTTGTGTCCAAGCAAAATTTTTTATGATAAATCCTAACCCTCAGTGTGATGGTATTTGGAAGTGAGGTCTTTGAGCACTGGTGGGTCATGAAAGAGAAACCAACATAAAGGAGATTTGTGACCTTATAAAGGAGATTCCAGAAAGCTAGCTGGCTTCTTCCAACATGTGAGGTCATAATGAAAAGATGGCGGTCTATGAACCAGGAAGCAGGCTCTCAGCAGACGCTGAGTCTTCCAGTGCCTTGATTTTAGAATTCCTTGACTCCAGAACTGTGAGATATTAATGTGTACTATTTATAAGCCATTAAGTTTATGATTTTCTGTTGTAACAGCCTGAATGGATTAAGATAGACCCATGGGTGTTGCTGCCACCACCTTTAGGCATGCTACCTCTGTTTCCCTCTACTATCTACTATGTCTTTTAAAAAAATAGATCATTTTTTATATTTAGAGGAATAATTAACCAAGTATTATTGTTCTTAAAATAAAAATTAATTAATTCTTTGATCAAATGATAAGAGTTTGGTAAACTGCTTCAGCTCAGCCTGACTATAGCACCAGAAGGAACAGCTTGTATAAATACAGTTCTCTGCTGAGTGGAGTGAATTTCCTACTTAATTTTCAACCCTTTCTATTGGCTATTTTTCCAGAAATAATTCCATTTTGTGCCTATTTTGACGACTTATGATGATACCTACTTATAAAAATACTCACCACTCATAATTCTTCATATCATCTGTGCCCAAGTACACATATGGGCACATGAAACAGACTGAATCTAAGGGTCTGAGAAGAAAGTGGGCTTACAGAAAAATTGCTTTACAAAATCTCTTCCTTGGTTTAATAATGTATTTATTTAGGTGCCAGCCAAAATTGCAAAGATCATGACATATTCTTATTGATATTTTATGGGTTAACACATTGGTCATTTACTTTAAGAATACATCATAGAAGTCTTCTCCCCTCAGTTCAGATCCTAAATTAGACACAAACTTGACTGTAACAAGTCACAGAGGGAAGGGATATCAAGAAATACATACTATTTTCCCCCAAATTTCCTCATGACATTGAATATAAATGTCTTTCTCATTTACACTGCTGGGGTTAATATTGTTGGTCACATGTCTTACAGTAATTTCAAGTCCATAGAAAAACAAAACAAAACAAAACAAAACAAAACAAAACAAAACAAAAACTTTGCCTAAAATTTCATATGTTAGAAAATTGCATATTTTTTGTTAATTGTCAATTCACTGGACTATTAAATCCACTTTAGTCTGTATTTTGTGGAGTGATCTAAAGAAACTGTGAAATTATCTCATGTTGTTAACAGGAGGGGCAGCTTAAACTATAAACAACTTGTTAGCACAGGTTTTAAACCTTTAAATATTCTGTTGGTATGAATCATGTTTCAAAGCCGGTCTTCCATATTATTTCTAAATGCACAAAAACAGAATCAATTGGTTCCTGGAGCCAGCTTCATAAACTCAGCCCTCAGTATTTTCTTCCCTTAGTTTATCAATTTCTTCAGGCTGGGTGACAAGAATATCCCCATCCCCTGTTCTTGTCCAAAAGGAAATGGAGTACTACAGATGCATTCCAAGGTATTTGGAAACCTCATTCTAACATAAGGATCATTCCTCCTATTGGAGAGAACACTGCGGAACCACAGATGGTTCAGGAACAAGCAACTGGGCCAAGTTTTAACATTTTAGTGTTGCCACATTGGGTTTTGTTTCCTACTAATAATGCAGCCAAGTATCTTGAAGCTCTTGCCCCTAACAGGAGGCTGCTTCTCAGTGGTCCTTACTCAGGGATTAGGATCCTATTTTTTTCCTTCATTAGATGGATATTAAGTCAATGCACTGCCTATATTTGGCCCAAACATGTCATTCCTTATTTTTAAGTTGGACAACATATAGCTCCAGGAAACATAAATAATTGAAAAGCACTTTATATTTTATCAGTTTCTCACAACACTTTTATGAAGTGGGGTAGTGTTACTGAGATATCATTGCAAATGCAATGATGGGTGATATGTTTCCTTTTCACATAATGAACTGCAAAATAAGGTCACCAAGGGAAAATCTGGAATCCATTAGAATTTTTCTTTTAAAACTAATCTCTATCATTTACAAGGAAATAATAAATCACCTTAAATTGAATGTAGCCTGCATTTATGTCTATAGAGTAGTAAGTGCAGAAGAGGGTTGGTCCCCCAGTGACCCAGGAGAGGGAAGGTCAAATCTGCCTGTACCCATATTGTAAGAAGCTGAAAGAAATCCTGTAATCTTATGGGATTCTAGCTCATACTTTCTAAGGTATGTATTTTTTTTACATCATGAATTGCAAAGGGAGATCTGTGGAAAGTCTCAGATCCTAGTCAGGTGAGCCACAGCAGTAGAGGCCATGACTCACTGGCTAAGGTGATGTTTATTTGCTTTGTGCTGTGCCACTTTCTCAGCTCCTCTGGGTCCTTTTCTTCCAAATTGAAAGCAGTCCCTAAAAATGAGAAATAAAGTAATAGGAAAGGTCATTTCTTTAAGGACTAGGTTACTAAAAGAGCCTGCATTTCTGTTCCTGGCATTTTCCTCTTGCCTAGCCCTAGCCTACTGCCATTGGTGTGCCACTTTGTTTATTGGAGTGGACAAAATGCATCTTCCTTTACAGTTGAGCTGTTGAATGCCAGCTATGTTGTGTGCTAAGGCTCTGTCCAGCCTCATTTGTCTAATATTGGAGCTGCTAAATCTGTATGAAGCATGAAGCAGAAAGTGCACATTCAAATAAGAATTCCCTGAGTGCACACTCTGATGGTCCAGCATGGCAGGTTCCCAGGGGAGAAGAGAGAAGCACAAGGATGGGCTCTGACTTCCCCTTTAACCCCCTTCTCCTGAGTCAGAATGACTCAGTGGGATAGTGAAGAAGTACAAAGAAGTAATCTGAATTACTTCTGAACTTGTGCCAGCATGTCTATACAATCCTTTAATCAACACCAGTTTCCTAGTCATTTAAGTAGCTTCATTTATTGCTTCACTCTAGAAGTACATCTGGGAACTTTCCAAACATACAGACTCTAAGCATTCTAAAAGCTAAGTCAAGATAACTCCCAGTAAGTAGCTCTTCAGTCGTGGGTTTATGTGATGGTGAACTTTGTCTTTTCTTTGGTGACAAGTTTACTAAGAACAGACCACTACAACTCCTCTGGTTCTATCTTTGTGGTTCAGATAGAGAGGCATTAAAATAACCCAAGATATGTCACAGCCTTTCTGTATAAAATATCTTTAGATGGCATGTCCTCAGTTGTAAATCTATTTCTTGCAAAAGGAACTCCTAGGTTGGAAATTTTCCCATACCTTTACATTAAGGCTTTCTTTGAAATATTAGAAATTATCTCCAATTCTAACCCTGTCTATTTTATTTAAAAAAAATTTTTTTTTTCAACGTTTATTTATTTTTGGGAAAGAGAGAGACAGAGCATGAACGGGGGAGGGGCAGAGAGAGAGGGAGACACAGAATCGGAAACAGGCTCCAGGCTCTGATCTGTCAGCCCAGAGCCTGACGCGGGGCTCGAACTCACGGACCGCGAGATCGTGACCTGGCTGAAGTCGGACGCTTAACCGACTGCGCCACCTAGGCGCCCCACCCTGTCTATTTTATTGACAGAGACATGGAAAAGTGAGGGATATGGAGAAAAAATAATTGCATGATAAATTCCCAGTCTTCTAGAAAAAGCATAATGAAATGTGTTGCTATTAGATAAATTAATAGATTATTATAATATTTTTTTCTAAGGAGGTTGGTAATACCTGAATCTTGTTCCAGATAAACCACTTGTATCTTCCTGATCTCCAGTAAAAGTGAATATACAGAATATAATCAGCAGAGCAAGGCAAATAACATGTGAGTCTTTGACCCCAATTGAGGCAGGCTCTTGAGGACATCATTGTACCCTAGTGTTGGTGGGCTCAAGAGGTTATTATCGACCTGATCCCACAGCTGATCTTTATGATGAGTTATTTGGTCCAAAGTCACAGGCCCTGGGAGCTGTTTGCCAGGTGGTGTGTATGACATTATTGACACTACAGGCAAAACAAAACAAACAAACAAAAAAACAGAACAAAAAAAAAACTCGGTGAAGAGGAATACTATACCGATACCTTATAATCTTGATGTGTTTCATTCACTGGGGCTGGTTCAGTAATAGCTTAAATTCTTCGGATTGTACAGGTGGTGAAGACAGAATGTAGCCTGTCAAAAAGCAGATTTATTGACTGTGGATGCAGAAAATGCAGGGTTTTAGTTGATGGGTAACTGAAAGCAGGAGCTCCATACCTCTTGACTGGATCATCTCCTTCTGCATTTTCCTTGAAAGTGAGGCATGGTGCTTACACATTTATGTTAACTTCCTTACAAGTCACTGCCAAAGAGGAAAGGATGTACATGTTTCCTGGCTTCCGTTTAGAAATCCTAGGGGCACTTTTAATAGGGCCAACTTGAGTCCTTCCAGCAATTATCGTGGCCAGGGAGATGAAAGACAGTGATGGATCTGTCAGATTTTGATACTGTAATTTCCAAGGGTTAAGTTCAGCTGTCAGTGTACATATGGACTTAGGGATTAGATGCTGTACTGAGAGCAATTGCTGATGTTGGTCTGGCACCTTCACCTCTGTTTACAGCCATTGTCCAGGATGTAATGAATTAGATCACTATTTTTTGCCTTGGGTGAATTAAGTGTAGTGAGAGAGGAATGGAGGACTCAAAATAAAGCTTTTCTTTTTCCTTCCTTCCTTCCTTCCTTCCTTCCTTCCTTCCTTCCTTCCTTCCTTCTTTCCTTCCTTCTTTCCTTTTTTTTTTCTTTAATAGGGAAAATTCACATATTTCTAATTCTCTTTGGCAGAGATTTTAAGAGCATATTTGAGGTGTGAAGAGTTTGGAAATAAGGCAGCATTGAGGTTCCCTTGTACTTCTCTGCCTTACTGGTTCTGATAGTGCGTCCTGAGGTTTCACTAGTATGCTTTTATCAGTACACGATGCTACATGTACTTTTATTTTCCCCAGTGACCATAATTGCAATTTGGTATTTACAAACAAAATTGCTTCACAGAGCTAGAACAAACAATCCTAAAATTTGTTTGGAACTGCAAAAGATCCTGAATAGCTAAAGCAATTCTGAAAAAGAAAAACAAAACTGGAAGCATCATGATTCCAGATTCCAAGCTATATTACAATACTGTAGTCATCAAGACAGTATGGTACTGGCACAAAAATAGAT